TCGTTTCGTTTTCAGTCCAGGTGGTTTGTGGATTATCAGTCGTACGCTGACTCTTTGGTCTAGCATTGCTTCTTGGGTATGCATCTGGGCCCCAAATAGCGAAGAACAGAAATCAAAGCAAATTTCCATCACTGATGGCTCAGCGAGACTTTAGAAACCAAAAATAATAATCCAATTGAGGCACTTTGGACATAATTTCACACAAGACCTAAACAAAATTTTATAGCTCTGGGAAAGCTGCAGCTGTTTGGTACTGAAAAACAGAAGATTGGTTTCCATTAGTTTGGAAAATGAGAAGCTACTGTAAATTTGTGTGACGGAAAGGGGTGAGGATTGTTTTGGTGAAAAGTGGCAATTATTTTTTTCGTATTAATTTCCCCTTGGACCGTAACTGGACAATTACTGAGATAGTGTCTCTGTATCATCCTACTGTGATACTACAAATATTCTAACATTAAGCATTACGATTTTCTAAAGAGGCATATCCGTTCCACAATGCTCTCACTCATTTGAATGTTTTGTGGAAAATCTTCTTCCCGGGAGATCTTGGTGTTGTAAAATGCCAGTTCTTTGTACACAGTGGCCTGATAACAGCCACTTCAAGGAGGAGAAATGACTTAAAACATCAGTGTTCATCATGATTATAATTAGCAGCAGCATCTTGCAACAGGCTTATGACCTTGAAATGAAGGAAACAGGAGAGGAGAAAGAGGCAGGGGAAGGCATTAGGGCTGTGCGAAGCTTCAGTCCCTGATTTGCTTCAGTGGAGATTCAGCCCGATTCGGTGACCGAATCTCCAAATCCGAATTGAATCAGGAGACCCTTTAATCTCTCTGAATCAAATCGAAACCCTCCAAATTGATTCAGAGAGATTTGGAAAGATTTGGTGATTTGGACATAAACACAGCTTTAAATGTTTTTTTCTACATACCTCTGGGTACCAGGCGGGTCATGAATGCTGCGATGCTGGGGTGGATGGAGTGTTTCACAGAAGCGCGGGGTGGGGGGCTCCCCAGCACTCTCGGCAGCAGACCCAGAAGTGGACCAGAAGCACTTCCAGTCCACTTCTGGGTCTACTGGGGAGCATGCTGGGGGGCCCCCCTGTGCCCCCCTGGCTTGGTGACTGGTGCCTCCTGGGTCTGGGGGGGCACCTGGGGTCCCCCCATTGCCAAATGCCAAGCTGGGGGAGACGTAGGGAGGGTGCCCCGTGTGGTCCCCGGTGGACCCAGAAGTGGACCAGAAATACTTCCAGTCCACTTCAAGGTTTGCCGCCGAGCATGCAGGGGGGACCCCCATGCTCCTATGGGATGCTCCATCCACCCCAGCATTGCAGTGTTCACAAGCCACACCTGGTGCCTCGAGGTATGTAGAAAAAACATTTAAAGCGGTGTCTATGGCCAAATCTCTGATTCTCTGAATCAACATTGAATCTTCAGATTTGGATTCGGTCGAATCCAATCGGGGACAGTGATCCGAATCTACGAATCAAATCACTGTTCCTGATTTCAGCCAAATCAGATGGGGCCCATTTTGCACACACCTAGAAGGCATCGGGCTGCCTATAAACTGTATGTAGTAGGGTTGGAGTGTTGCTATAGCCGTGATGGTCTGGGAAATATGAAAGAAGATATTAAACAGGTAGTGAACTGGAAGAATTATTCCATCTAATTCAACTTAAAGAATTCATCCACAGCCAGTACAAAAACACTTCTGGGTGCACTTACTTCTGCTCTAGCCACGAAGAAGGGCACTTTGCCCAAAAGGTTGTCAAACATCTCTCCCAACTACACTGTTGCTCCAATAAAAGATGTCACTCCAAACCCCTTGCTTCTTTGTAAACGGGATGAGTAAAGAGAGTCAATGTGTTCTTGTAGCAACAATAGCTTTTGAATAAAGTGGTTATTTTGCTATAAGTTCCTAAGCTGGATGAAAAAGTTGGCGGGGGGGGCAGACAGACACTGTGACACTCTTGTCAATTTTTTTTTACCTGCTTTAACATTAAAAAAAGGTTGATTCTTATCAATGCAAATGTTTTCAACATTTTTGAAACTTTTAAAGCATTCTGAACGGCTTTATCGCTGGACCAAACATGTGGGGGGAAAATAACCATCCACAGTTTCCACCACCGTTTAGTCAGAATGCTAACAAGATTTCTCATCAAACTTTTGCAACTGAATTTCAGCAAGCTCTATCCCACGTGCATTGCTCCCCTCTGAACCTAGGAGAGAAATGCTGATGGGAGATCTATAAAGCAGTAACTGAGAGTGCAGAGATGACACTGAGCAAAGGAAAAATTAAGCTGACTATGTCCGTACAATGTCGATCTGACTCTGAAAGAGTATTCTCCGAGGATATGTTTGAAGCCCCTGTGGTTGAGATATTTAAAACTGGATTCAAGAAAGCAATTGAAAAATAATCCTGCTAGGAGAAAGCAGTCCCGTATCAGCCAAGTGATGGACTAGGGGACCTAAAGTGATCTTTTCTGTCCTTTTCTGTCCTTAGCATTTGTAATTCCATTTCCAGGATCCTATTTCCTAACTCAATATTGTTTAATTGCTTTGGAAGAAAACACTTTTTCTATCCAACACTGCCATGTTCTTCCCTAATCATCCGCAGTGGAAGGAGAATACAAGGGCTACAGGAAATGCAGTGTAATGAGCAGAAACTCCATTTTGATTTGCTTAGAGAAAACAAATATTTATATACAAATGGGACCATGGTCCTTCCTAATTTGATTGTCAGCATGCTGCAACATTGTTTCCTGAGTTATCATGTGTCACTGTAATTAAAAAGCTGTAGTGCTGTACACACAGCATGTGCTCTAATCAGTTAGGTGAAAAACAAAGCAGTGAAGCCTGTCTCAAAGGGGTTCAGCATTCAAAGCCCAATTTAATGCAGCAGCATTGGTCTATGATTTCTAACCCTGCATACACACATACGCTTGCCGCAAGTTTGATTATTGCTGAAGCCATTTGGGTACAGTACCCAGACATCTGGACAGAAGGAGTCTGAATTAACTAGGTTTCACTCTGCTTGGGTCGTATTCCTCCAAGTCACACAGTGAAATTATGTGATGTTTCAGGGCAGAAAAAAAGTTCTTCTAAGCAGAGAAGTTCTACTGTGACATTTTTAGCTCTGCAAGGCTGTGCTGGCTCGATAAGGACATACAGAAATATCATACTAGTAAATGACATGAATTGCTCTTCCATATCTCTCGCAGGATGCACCGGCACCTCTTTCACCTCTGCAGTCTTGGAATCTAATGAATTTCTTGGCTGCAGTCTGATGCACACAGAGTGCTGTCGATGACAATAAATTGCTGCCTACAATTTAGCACAACAGGCTTTGTTGCAATCAACATGCATTAGTGTCAATTGGATCGGCGTCGCGTGATCTAGTCAACTGAAATCTGAATACGAGGGTGCATCAGAAGTCAACTGCAATCAAGTCGCGGCACCGGTGTTAGGCATCTGGTGCTCGGAACTGGCAAGGGCAAGCTACACAAGGGCCAGCCTCAAAAGAGAGCCGAAGTGCTCACCAGTGACAGCTAGACAATTATTAAAGAGAATTATTTAATGAATGTAGAAACCGTAGCTGAGTGTAAAACCACCTTCTGCTGGTTTTACACTGCTCACCTCCACAGGAGTCACATCTGTGTCACCAGACTCTGGAATAGTCACACTGTGTGACCAGACCAGGCTTGGGGAAGCATCTATTCACTATGGCCCCCCCCAGGGCAGGAGAAGAAATAGATATAAGGAAAAACTTCATTTATAAGCCGAGTGCCAAGGGTTTGGAACAGGCTCCTCCCAGAGGTGGTACAGGTGGTCACCCACCCTGGCAATCTTCAAAAAAAGTCGTGATGCTCATCTTGCTGGGGTCATCTAATCCTGGCAGTCTTTCCTGCCCAAGTGCAGGGGGGCTGGACCTGGTGACCTGTTAGGTCCATGGGTGACTGGTGTCGCCTTAGTTAGGCGGGGCACATGGCCGATCTCGCTTCCCAGGGGGGGAATCCCCATGGCGGATCCTGCCGACCCCATAATGGCCAATTGCTGTAGCCGCTTCCAGGAGTGGCTGTGGCTGCTTCTGGGAGTGGCTGCAGTGATCGGCCGGTGCTTGCAGGGGGGCACCAGCATTCCCACCTGCCCCCCTGTCCATCACCTAAGTGGCGAGTGTGGCTGGTCAGGAGGTGCACCGGCACTCTCAGGGGGTGCATGTGCACCCCTATGCACCCCCTACGCATCACCACTGGTTAGGTCCCTTCCAGCCCCTAACAACTATGAAACTAGGACTCTGGAACAGACTCCCAGTCAGGGTGGTGCAGGCAGCTACCTGGAGATCTTCAAAAGGAGACTGAATGCACACCTTGCTGGGGTTATTTGACCCCTGCAGTCTTTCCTGCCCAGAGCAGGGGGCTGGACCATATGATCTCACAAGGTCCCTTCCAGCCCTAAACTTCTGTGAATCTATTAATCTAATTTTTGCTTTTATAAATGGAGGCAGAAGGAGGGTATGGACACAAATTATTCCATAGAAATTGAGTTGTGTCTCAGATTTTACTCTGTGGTAAGCAGCTCGCAAACAAGCTGCACGACCAAGTTGGCTCGGTAGAGAAGGTGCTGTTGCAGCATCTGGCTACTAGAGGGCAGGGGAGTCAGTCTGCACTGAGCAAAGAGATACTCTGGGATAAAAGTGACTGGGGACTGGACAGACTAACAGTGCACCAGGGTAATTTGCACTCTTCACTTTCTAAGGGGGGAACTCGG